TTTCATCCCAGAAGCACCCAAAGTCTAGCATCTAAAGTGAGATTCTAAAGCAGCATGGAGTGAATTTTTGCATGTGTTTGACATCATAGAACCACAGAACAGTTGATGTTGGAGGTACCCCTGGAGACCACCAAGGACAATCCCCCTGCTCAAAGCAGGTTTGCCTACAACAGGTTGCCCAGGACCGTGTCTATGCAAGTTTTGATTACTCCAAGAATGGAGACTCCCCAGCCTTACTGGGCAAGCTGTTCCGCTCTTTGATCACCCTTACAGTAGAACATTTTTTTCCTCTGTTTAAACAGAATTTCTTGTATTTCAGTTTGTGCCCACTGCTTCTTGTCCTGTCATTAGATACTACTGAGAAGAGTCTGGCTCTGCCTTTAAACACTCCCATTAGACATTTATACACACTGATTAGATCACGTTTAGCATTAGCTTTCCCATGCACTATAGAAAAATACCGAGGACCAGGCACCGGAGGGAGTTAGTTAGGCACCTAACTACTTTTTGGAACTGGCCTAACATACAGTCAAGGTAGCAAACTATTTTTTTTTTTTTTTCCTTCTAAAACTTTAATAGCGTCCACATGGATTTGGTGCATACAGATAGAAAGTTAACTGCAACAGCAAGGTGCCGATCTGCACAGAGACATGTACAAATAGTCCACTGCTCCATCATGGTAACAAAAAGGATTCGTAAGCAAAATAACATGAATGAGGCTACAAAATAGATATAGATTTATCGGCTCTAATACAGCCAGATAAATTCCTTTCTTGCCTGCAATTCAATCTGCATCTTGGGTAATAAATTCTAAGGCTTGTCTATTAAAAAGTAAGCAATCTGGAGAGACACTTCATTTATTGTGCAGACCCCTCAGTTGCCAGTTCTGATCTTAATTTTCAGTTCAAGCAAAGTTTGCTATCAAACACAGAATCCACCTCGCTTTTTCATTATGAATACAGCACAAGGTCTAATGTTAACAGTGCACATAACAAACGTTCCTCCTCCCAGCCAAGCCAAACACCGAAGCTTTCCCCAGTAAACCATAGCACCTACGTACCAAATCAACCTTGGAATATTCCTCTACAATCTTCATGTGCTCTTCTGGGTTATAACCATTCCAACGATCTCGCTTTCCATCATAATCAAACATCAGCTGAGGCTGCACATGTTCATCTGGTGCAATATTCATGCCTGTATATTTTGCTCCAACTTTCCTGGGTCTCTGAAAGGAAAAAAAATGGTTGGGTCAGTCCATTAGACTTATATATATGTATACACACACACACTCAGATATCCCTTTATTTGAAAACAGTATCAATTGAGCTCTTCTAAAGCCAGTTAAATTCAGCACTATAAGCCTGTGAATTGTGAATAAATGCAAGTAGTTAATTTCTGTATTTTAAAATAGTGCAACTGACTCCAAACCCCATCAATTTCTAACTCTATTTTCCACAATTAAGAAAGCAATTAAAACACAGTTTCTGGGGATGGCTTCTAGCTGACATGAAACAGAAAGACAGGCACAGCAGCACTTGAGTTAAAGCAAATTAACACGAAGAGCTAAATATTTTCACCTATTATTGCGGTGCTTATCACAAACAGAACTGATGAGCAAAACCCTGAATAGTAACGTTTTTTCCCTTCGTTTTTCCTATATAACAATTTCTTTAGAAATTTCCAAGCCACCTTTCCATACTTGTAACCTTTTTCAAAGCTAGTAATTTTTATCTCTATTTTTCACTAAAATTAGAATTCACGTTGTCTTCAAAACCATTAAAACATCAACAAAAGTCAAGTTTACCTCCATGCAGTCTTTCTTTTTGTGTGTCAATGCACCACAGTTCTCGCAAGCTCCTTTACGATATCTAGTTGCTATAGCATGCTAAACAACAAAAAAAGAGTGTTGTACAAACTTGTGGCAAGATTCATACACACGTTCCCAATAACTAATTCATTTTTTCAATACGACTAAAGTGTGCGTGGTCTACCCAAACCCAAAACATGTATTTTGATTATTACCAAATACTGTGACTTGCCTGCTGAGTAAGAATTCCCAGCTCCTGTCCCTCTCAAAAACATGTAACCAGAGTTAGGTCTTTATAGGGAGTCAATGTCTCTTTTCTTATTTCCTCACAAAATCAAACCAAATCTTTATTTTATGACAAAACTATTTTGCATACCTCTTGAACTCCTCGTTTGTACCAATCTCCAGAGGAGCTATACTGTTTCTGCTTCTCTGGCTGAGGTCTCTGATGCTTTAGCGTAGGTCTTTTAGAGGGATCTATGTACCATGGTACTGAGGATATGTACTGAGGAATATGAGGATTGATATCTCTGTAAAAGATGTTGTGTAATAAATACACGGCATAGGGAAAAAAACCCCACCACAACTTAGCCTAACAAATAACTCTCACATTAAAGTTCAGTGCTTTAGGAGTGATAATAAAATAATGAAGTTGTTACAATGCATTGCAAAATAAGCTCTAATTTAACTAGATAAACGCAAACTTCTGTTGAGATTTTGTTGCCATCTAATGCACCTAAAATCCTGACTCCAAATCAAATACCTTATTCTATGCAATGTCACTGAGCACAAAAATAGCAACATTTCTCTTCTCAGAAACAACAAGCCTTGCAGAAGCAAGAGAGAGGGAACAGGTAAGGTATGCAGTAAAGTTCCCCAGTACTGTGTTTTGGTCACTTTTAAAATACCACTTGTAATTAGCCGCATAGATGGGACTTTTTAGCAGCACCGTCAGCAGACCACAGTAGATAAACACTGAACCTACATTTTTTTGAAAAATATCTATTTTCTGAGGACAACTGGAATGTTAAAAGCAAATTCACAAAGTTCAACTATTTACTTCTACAATGACTCATGTAGAAATCATGTATCACTCTCATGATTATTCTGTAATCACAACAGGAAAAAAGACATTTTTAACCAGTAGCTTTATAATAACCGTAGCTTTACTAAAACTTACTTTCCTTCTTCATCCACTTCAGCAGGTGCATTTCCTAGTTTTCTTTGTTCTTCTAATTCCTTCTTTTTCCTCCAGTCTTCCCTCGTCATCTTCTTTGGCTCCTCCAGGCTCACATCATTTGACCCTCCTGAAGAAGTGGCGCTCGTTACCGTCCCTGATGCCATTTTGTTTTTTCCCCTGCAACAGGAAAAAAAAAAAAAAAAGAAAAATCTGACTATTTGACAAAAGATCAAGACCATTTGACAGCACAGTTCTTCACCGTGATTTTGTATCACTGAGTTAAACCATAACGCTGTATCATGCATTCTTGACGTACGTCTCTTCACAAAAGTAAGTACCAGTGCCGAAAAGAGCGTTATTGGCGTTTCTGTTCTCTAACTAACGCGGGGGACGAACGGCAGCAGCTCTGC